TCCAATCGCAGGCACAGTCCTACGTTCTTCCCATGTAGGAGTTACATTTAAGCAACTCTTAGGCAGGAGGTACTACTATCACCTCCAATTACTGGCAGGTTAAGGGATCTGCCCACACAGCAGGGAGGAGGTAGACCCCGAGTTCTGAATCCAGTACAAGCTCAGAACCAGGAGTGCAGTGGTCAAGAAGGGGACCTTCCTCATAAGGGCCCCACATCCATGCCCATAAAGCATAATTATTAGTTAGCTTTTTTATTTTATTTTATATCTTTATTGTTGAGGGTATTACAAATGTCTCTTCCTTTTTTGCCTCCTTGCCCCCCACCCACCACCTGGTATCCACCCAGCCCCTGGCCTTCACCACCCTACTGTCTGTATTCATGGGCAATGCATATAAGCATATAAGTTCTTTTTAGTTAGCTTCTTAAAATTATCTACTTACATGCCTGGATACCTCACTGGACCATGAATTCCCTAAGCCCAGCCCCTATGTTTATCTTTGTAAAACAGAAATCTATTGTAGATTATCGTATATTAAAGTTAAGGAACATAAATTAAAATCCCAATAGTTAATCTTTAGAGATACTTTACACAGGAGAGAGAAAATTCCATCAAATCTCACTATTTTTTCCCAAAAAAAGTAATGGAATTCATAAGTGAATAAACAATCCAAACCACTGCAGCAACTAATAAAAGCTCTCCAATTTTCATAATAAAACAGAAACCTATTGTAGATTTTGGACAAAATGGAGTCTCAAATATTCTTAAAAGAATGAATAAAAGGTCACTCCCTTTTATATGGCTAATTATATTAATAAAAGACTTCAAATACTCATTAGACCATGACAATTACATTAAAAATGAATCCAATTGGTCTGATGTTTTAGATACACACTGAATGAAATAAGAGGATCTAGACATATACTAGAGGCCCAGGGCACGAAATTCATGCACAGGTAGGGTCCCTAGACCTGGCTGCCATGAGGGCCAATCAGGGCCTTCCAGCTGCCAGCCAGGGCCTTCCTTCGCTCTGTGCCACCCCCTGGTGGTCAGCATATGTCATAACGAGCGACAGAACTCCCTCTCTAGGCCTGGCTGCGATCAGGGCTGATCAGGGCCTTCCAGCTGCCAGCCGGGGCCTTCCTTTGCTCTGCGCCACCCCCTGGTGGTCAGCATACGTCATAACAAGCGACAGAACTCCCGGTCTCCCAGTCAAACTCCCATGGGGACACTTTGCATATTAGCCATATATAGTCTGGAAAAAAATAGTGTTGGAAGCAGCTATTAAAAAAAAAAGTAACTTCCACCCTTTCTGGTTTGGCTCAGTGGATAAAGCGTTGACCTACGGACTGAAGGGTCCCAGGTTCAATTCTGGTGAAGGGCACATGGCACTTTGCATATTAGCCATATATAGTCTGGAAAAAAATAAAGTGTTGGAAGCAGCTATTAAAAAAAAAGAAACTTCCACACTTGCTGGTTTGGCTCAGTGGATAGAGCACTCCTCTCTCATCATTGATGTTTCTATCTCTCTCTCTATCCTTCCATTCCTCTCTGAAATCAATAAAAAAAAATTATTTTTTTTTTAAGAAGTAACTTCCCTCTGATGGAGAACTCCTCATTATTATCAGGGCTTTTAGTTCAGCTGTTCAAAATAGAATTCTTTTTCCTCAAAGTTTTCAAGCTCTCTCCCCCTCCCTTCCTCTCTGAAATCCATAAAAAATTTAAAAGAAAAAAAAAGTAACTTCCCTCTGATGGAGAACTCCTTATTATTACCAGGGCTTTTAGTTCAGCTGTTCAAAATAGAATTCGTTTTCCTCAAAGTTTTAAAATTTTTCAGTTTGATTAACATAATGCCTCTAAAACTTTGGCAACATCCTGACTTAGAGTCTGTGCCACTGACATTCTTAAAACTATATTAATTCCTGCCAAAATGCACGCTGTGAATCTAACTTTGAGACATCAGGCAGACACAAGTTGAGGGACAAGCTGCGAAGTAACTGGCCTAAAACTGGCCTGTCCTTCTCAAAAACGCCAACGTCATAGAGCTATGCCAGGTTGAAGGGGTGAAGGAGAGAGAGAGGGCAGGTAAACGCAACTGGCAACCCTGGATTGGTTCCTGGACCAAGAAAAAAATGCTGCAGCCCTGGCCGGGTAGCTCAGCTGATTAGTGTCACCCCAATATGCCAAGGTTACGGGTTTGATCCCCAGTCAGGGCACATACAAGAATCAACCAATGAATGTATAAACAACAAATCGATGTTTTTCTCTCTTTCTTTTTCTTCTCTCTCTCCTCTCTCTGGCAACCCTGGATTGGTTCCTGGACCAAGAAAAAAAATGAGTGTATAAACAACAAATCGATGTTTCTCTCTCTTTCTCTTTCTTTCTTTCTCTCTCTCTCTCTCTCTCTCTCTCTCTCTCTCTCTCTTCCTCTCTAAAATCAATTTTTTTAAAAATGCTACTAAAGGACATTTCAGGGACAAATGGCCAATTTTGAGAAAGGATTCTAGATCTGATTAATAGTAATGCCTCAATGTTAAATTTCCTGATTTGGCTCATTGCACTGTGTTATGTAAGAGAACTGTCCTCTTAGGAATTAAACACTGAAGTGTTTAGGGGCAAAAGGAATGATATCCTCACCTTAATCTCTAGTGGACAAGACAGAGAGAGACTAGCAACACGCTGACCACTGAGGAACGGGGGTGACAGGCTTGCAAGAGTTCTCTGCAGGACGCCTGCAGCGTTTTGCTAGTTAGAGATTATTACCCCCAAATGTTTAACTATCTTATTTAGTCCAAGCACTGCTTTCTTAGCCAGGAAATGATGTTGAACGCAGGGAAAGCTCATGGCCTACCATCTAGCAGTCGCGGACTTGATATTCTGGTTTCTAAGCATTTCTGAACTCCAGAAGTAGTGCTGAAAAGTCCATTTTAAGATGTCCTGTGATCAAAAAAAGAAAACAGTCCTGCGTGGACATACAAGTCCCTATTTGCTTCATCTCGCTTTTGAGCTTCATTGAATTCTTGGTGAAATGTCTCACTCAAGAAAATATTATTGAGTTATTAAATAGTGCGGTAAGGTCAAAAAAGGCTTCTTTCTCTTCCTCCCTCTGAAGCCTTCTGCTTGGGCTTTTCTCTCTGGCCCTTCCCCCTCAAAGTGGATCAAATAACTAAACTCACCTCCATCACGTCCCTAGCTGACAGTTTTTTGGTCGCCCGTTTTGGGGCTTTCAAACCGCAGGGCGAGGGCCTGGGTTAATATTCAGAGCTCGGCTCCTGGGCCTCACAATGGGAACCGTGGGTCCCAAAAGGAGGCCAACAAAGGAAGACAAGTTTTTACTGCTGGAGCCATCTGCCAATTCTCTTTAGGGCCTTTGCAAGGACGGAGGGGATGGTAGCAGCAGCTGAGAGGGGCCTGCAGGGGAGGGCATGAAAACCACGCCAGGAAAAGCAATTGCAATATGAAAAGAACCGAAGGGCTGGCGGGCGGGCGCTGGACAGATGAATGGAAGGCCTCCCAAAGCCCCTCCTCTAAACAGACCTAGCGCCCGCTCCGCCGGGGCTTTTGTCGGTTGCCAAGCATTGCAAATGTCATCGTCAGAATATGTTATTAAGGGAGGGTTTCATATACACAAACCACACAAAACGCCTCCCCAGAGGGGTCTTCTGATTACCCACGTGGAACCCCCAAGCCACCTGCCTTTGCAAAGATTATACAGGGTTTTTATTCTTTAGTTTGCAAAATGTCCTAAATGCAGTGGTTTAGCAATAACAAAACACGTATTTCTATACCCGCTCTAAAGTCCCCCTTCTCCCAGAGACTTGCAAATTTTTAAGACCACCAACTATGAAAATCTATTCAATGCACTAAAACAAAAACACTTCCATGCCCTCAAGGAATTCTGTCAAAATTTCAATGTTTTTTTTTGGAGGGGGGGGGTGTGGGGAGAAGGCCAAAATATATTCCTCTGACATTTTTCCCAAAAGGAAAATTCTACTGAAAACCCGGGAAGACTAAAGCGCTGAACAACAGCAGTTCACGCCAGGCCCGGGGACCAGCTCCTCCAGCACCTGTCTTGTCTCTTTCAGAATCCCCCCTTTCCTGCAGGCAGGCACAACTCCCACTGCCTCAAGCCTCTCCTAAAACAGTATTAATCCCTGAATGGGATCAGTCATCTTCGGGGACTGCAGACAGGAACTTTCTCTCCTTTCTGAACACAGCCTCACAGGAAATCTACTCTAGGACTGGGAGTGGGAAGCGGAAGTCAACCTTGGCAGGTAGTTTTGTGGGGTTTGGGGTGGGTTTTAAATCCCACCATTTAACACGCTGGTGTCTGGCCCGGGGCTAACGACTGAAGGCTAGCTCCCGTTCTCTCTGGGTCAGACTACAGGCTCTTCCCCCTTCAGTTCTAAGGACTGAGGAGATGCCAGTAAAGAAGTCTTCACAGATGCAGTATTTACGTAACTCCGGTGCCTTTTTAAAAAAAAACAAATGTGGCTCATCTTGTATGTCCACAAACAGTCAATGTAAAAGTATACAAATAAATAGATTAACAGAAACCAATGCCGCACAGTTGTAACATTGGTTTTGTGGTGTTGAAAGAGTGGCTTTTAAAGCTGTGGCTCCTTTGGAAACGGATGTAGGGCAAAGTTCCCAGCTCCCCTCTGCAGCCAGACGCCATAAGGGTAAGGAACTAGCGGGCCGAGGATGCCAAATGCACAGAATTCAATTCCAGGTTGAGGATGTGCAAGTTAGGCCACAGGACCACCACTAAGAGAGCCTGGCCACCTGGGGATGCAGCCCACATCTCCCCGAGCCCCGGGGGACACGCTGGCCTCCCTGGTACCAGCAACTGAGTGGCTGTCCTGCCACGCGGCGCCCACACCCCCGCCAGCCCCAGGCCTTGAACTCTGCTCCCTGACTGTCAGCGACCGATGATTGAGCTGCAGCCCTGCAGCCCAGGCCGGGCGGCAGGAGGCGGCCCCAGCGGAGCCCCGGCTGACCTCTCACTGTGAGCCGGCTGTAGACCTGGGAGTTGACTTCCTTGTCCCGCAGGTAGCATCGGATTTCCTCCACCGCCTCTCGGATGATGGTGACGGCCAACACGAAGCCCTGCAGAGAGAGAGGACAGAGTGAGCCCTGCTGGAACCCACCTTCCTCTCCTGGGGCCAGGGACAGAAAAGGCCAGAGGGCAGCAGGGCAGGACCTGCTAAGGGTCCCAAATGCGCATGCCCAGCAAACCCGCTTCTCCCAGGGTCTCCTACACACACACCCTGGAGGAACACTCGTCAACACGCAGGCACAAGGACAGCCCTATTCACCACCTCCTAGTCTCAGGGTTTCTGAGAGTAAGATATGTCGAAACACCCACACTGTCCATCCACAGACAATGGCTGAAGGAGGGTGACCACTAACATCTGAATCTCGCTCGCCATGTGCTGGGCTCCCTTGAAGTGCTTTCCTCCCATTAGTGCATTCCACCCTCACAACCACCCTATGTACAGATTCACCATACGAGATCACTGTGCTACAGATCAGGAAACTGAGGCACAAAGAGGTTGAATAATAAAACTCTTAGGAATTTTATATACTACACACACACACACACACACACACACACACTAGAGGCTCGGGGCATGAATTCATGCATGGGTGGGGTCCCTTGGTTTGGCCGGCGATCGGGGCCAATTGAGCTGTCTCGCCCAGTCCCCATAGGGCAGGCCGGATGGGGGGAGGGATTGCGGGAGGTTGGCCAGCCACAGGAGGTTGGCTATGGGAGTGCACTGACTACCAGGGGGTAGCTCCTGCATTGAGCGTCTGCCCCCTGGTGGTCAGAGCACATCATAGCTACCGGCTGGTCATCCAGTCGTAATGGTTGCTTAGGCTTTTATATATATAGATATACTAGAGGCCCGATGCACGAAAATTCGTGCAAGAGTAGGCCTTCCTTCCTCTGGCTGCCGGCACCAGCTTCTCTCCAGCACCAGGGACCCGGGCTTCCCTCCTCCAGCCGCTGGCAGGAACCTGGGACCCAGCTGGCTTCCCTCTGGCCCCAGCTTTGTCAGGAAGGATGTCCGGAAGACATCCGGTCTAATTAGCATATTACCCTTGTATTATTATAGATAAGCAGAAATGTTGAACACAGGAAATCTGGCTTGAGATCTTAACAGCCACATTGTTCTGCATCTAGAGAAACTCCGGTGGGCGGAGCCAAGGAGATGGACCACCAGCAGGAGCTAAAAAGAGTGAGATACCTGCTGCTTGCATGGACGGGGTCAGCGGGAAAATCAATCTTTCAGAACATAAAATAGAACACTGTTCACAGAAATAACAAAGATTCCATACACTGGGAAAGACTTTCTGCCCTGGCCGGTGTGGCTCAGCTGGTTGGGCATCATCCCATGCACTGAAAAGTTGCTGGTTCAATTCCTGGTCAGGGCACATACCCAGGCTACAAGTTCAACCCTCAGTCGGGGGATATATGGGAGGCAACCGATTGATGTTTCTCTCTCCCCCTCTCCCTTCCTCTCTCTCCAAAAAATCAATAAAAACTTTTTTTTTTTAAAGAAAGGCTTTCCCATTTCCTTAACTATTGGTTAGATTCCTCTGCTAAGAGGGACAAGGATGGAGTGGGAGGTACTGCAGGATGTCTGTAATGTCCTAAATTTTTATAAAGAAACATTATGAAGCATTCACAGTATAAGTACCAGCTAATAAAAAGGAAATGTAAACCTGTCTGATCTTCCTGAGCCAGGCACCCCAACTCACAAACTCTGGGGGAGACTGGTGTGTGTCGTCTACAGCATGGACCTATTTCCATCCAGTTTTCCTCTTGAATCCACAAAGGCAAGAACCTTCATCCATGTTTCTTTTTTCTTTTAAATATAATTTTTTTTAATTTATTGATTTTTTTAGAGAGAGAGAGGTACAGAGAAAAGAGCGGGAGACAAGGGTTTGCTGTTCCACTTATTGATGCATTCACTGGTTGCTTCTTGTGTGTGCCCTGACCCGGGATCAAACCCAAAACCTCAGAGTATCAGGACAACGCTCTAACCAGCTGAGCTACCCGGCCAGGGCCTCATTCATTTTTCTTACGAGATGCCCTTATCATCCCTCCTTTTAAAATCACTTTTTAAAAACACAGACAGCAAGGTTCCCACGGAGGGTAGCAGTAGGGATTGCTTGCTGACTTCATTTTCATGCTGCTGACCCTGTGAAATACATTAACTTTGATTCAGATCCCTTATGTAAATCTAGCCACAGAGGCGCTGCTTTGTGGACCTCCTCCAAAGCCCCAGATATTTTACAATCACAGGACTCCTCCTGCCTTCTGCTGCCCATCAGATGTGAAGAACGGGCCCATTTCAGAACAAAAGTATACGCAGACCTGCAGACCTCGTATGGAGGAGAGGAAGCTTGTTCCGGCACCACAGGCCCGGTCTGCAGAGCCCCTCCCCCCTCCTCCCCCACCCCCC